CACGAAAACTTTCGTGAACATTACTCACACACCACTCACAAAGTTCAACTGAACCAGCCACCAGGTTTCCGTCACGGTTGTGAGGATGGATATGTAACTAGAATTCGACGGGATAGACAGGCACCTAGCTACCCAAGTTTTTTGATTGGTGAACAATAGTTATAGCAGCCAGAATGAAACCGATCGAATTCGTGGAGCACTTGTCACTTACTCAAAAAGGTCACTAGGTCGGGCTTAGACGTGCTTCGTATCCTTGATGAAAGGGTAAAGATCAATCAGTTATGGAACTTCCTCCACTCCGACTTTTGTGATTACATTTGGACATTGGCATGTGTTGCGGCTGACAAGGCTGTATCTAGTGGTTCTTTTCTATTTTTTTAACCGCATGTCGGTTATGACAACAACATTTCTACTGTGTAAATGCACAAATTCTGACCATAGCATATAAATACTGGGGCAAAAATCGTCAAGATTATCAAGTCTGGTTACGTCTATACAAATCTTCCTGAGATTCCGAAAAAAAATAGGAAGAAAAAGACGTATCGATTGGTGCAAACACAGCCGCATTGTTCTTGCACGCGAGTTACCAGTACATTCATCCAATCAGTGCTGTGTTTTGGTATTCTGGCAATTAAACCAGCCCTCCATGGGCAGTTCATTCAGCCGAGACCATATTTTACATCTGGTGACCATTCTCTAGTACTGCTTGCGCAGTTTGGTTAATGCGTACGAAATCACAATTGAGGGTCATTCATTCGGGGACTTGTGGTGCTAGTGAGTGGTTGTCGAAATCAAGCAATGTAAACTTCCTTGAAACAAGTAAATACTGTGAAATACAGTCTGGTTTTGGGACATTTTACCCTTGATCTTCCAGAAAAGATCCGACAGTGATGCATCTCTGGTGGAAGCTTGATCGACACCAGTGATTGTGATCTACGTAGAGTGCATGCATGTGATGAACCTTGTCAGGTAGACAGCATCTTTAATCCCGACTACTGTCTATAAAGCAGCTTTAAACGTAGTATCAATTATTGAGAAGCAGTACCGACTGACATAGGCATCGTGCCATTTAGATGGGCGTAGTATACTGAATAATATCGGCGGCGAAGATACGAGTTTTAACTCCCAACTTGGTGTTAACCGAAAACATTGGACATTCAACAGGACACTTGGATAAAAATTGCAAGGGTCACTGTGCATTAGCAAGGGTCTTTCCTAATATTTTACGGCATTTGAAGCTACGTTCTATGGTACTTCCTCCAACGGCCTCGGGGCTACAACGTTGGAACATCAAATCCATTTGACGGGACGAAACAAATAATAAACCGCAAGATCAGGAAGTGATGTGCTTGAGCTATTCCAAACCCAGGGAAGATAAAATGCAATCAGCTGGACTTCGGTGAAGTCGAACGAAACATAAGGGGGTATCCAGTTTATCAGAGATGGTTGTTTCGGCAGTTCCTCATCGAAAACCTGGGAGAGCCATCATCATTGGTGAATGGAAAGTTACAGAGATAGTCACAAACTCGCGCCCAGTGGATAAAGTAAATTCCTACACTAAAATTCGAGAACCCGAGTGGCAAAGCACTTTCATGAGGGCACGCATTGGAAACGCTAAATCCGATCTGCAGATTCACATAAGCTTCAGGAATGTCAAACTCATGGTTGTGCTCTGCATTAAAAAATCGAGAATCTTCAGGGCGATATTATGCTAAAAGAGAGTCCCAGGAAAGAGCCGCTTCTGACAACTCAGTGTTGTCACACCAACCAAGTACGAAATTGAAGTTAAGTAGACTGGAGTGACCTTGGAAATCGAAGTGCAGTATTCTTGCACTTAGAAATCCGTTATTCAGCGTGTTAGTGGTAGATATTTCTGCTTGATTCTTGGATCGCGTTAAGACCCTGTAACATAATATCTTGGCCCGGCGAAGCTTCCATGTTGGTGAGAGATCCAGGGAGGGTCTTCCAAACTTCCTTGAAACGAGAATTTCCTAGTGTGTTCAAATGTTTCCCCATGGACTAAACCACAAAATTTATCCTTTCTGGCTTGGTAACCTGAAAACAGTTGCAAATCTTTGTTATGCTTATGAGGTAGAAATTCATATTGTAGTTCTCGTGTCTTTCGGATCAACTTTGAATGATTTGTGTGCCAGCAGACAAATTGTCAATTGATAGTTTACGACCCGGGATATAAAAAATCGTCTATTAAATCGATGGAACAACACATGATTTCCGCAACGGGAATAACTGACAGTTAGACCCACATAACAGTCGTGAGCGGCTAGTCTGCAAGCAACACCACAGTGTGGTTGATCACTTGACCTCTATGAATCACACTGCTTCAACCGGATTGACAGGGGATAAGTGTCAGCCGTGACAACCACACCAACCCATCTGGATGCTATCCAACACCCTGTCGATGCGTTTGAGTAAGCAGCTATCGCTTGCTTATGATCTGCTAACCGGATTCCTTCTTCATTCATCACGCGATCAACCAATCACCGTTGTAGCTGTGCTTAGTGGAAGTTTGTCCCAATCTTAAAAAATCAACCATGACCGCGATCTTGAACACACACAGTGAAATTCAATCGAGTAGATTAAGCGTCCTCACATTCCTGGCACCGAAGGGTTTACTGTTCTGTCCACCTCATTCTATCGTCAATGTGACTTCCTACTCTGGGTTCGTAACACAGAAGGTGGACTAGGTGTCTGTCCTCATTTATATGGACTGGTCAATTGGTTAAATTACAAAAAAATCTAACACACATGAAACTGTCTGTGAACACTGCTCCACTGTAACGCCTTCTTCTCGAAGCCAACATGGAGAAATCCATTGAATAACTAGATACTTTGCGCAGATTCACGTCCATATAAATCGATACCTGTCCTTGATCATATTCTGGTAGCGATAAGATACTTGCTTCTCTTGGGTCGGACCGAACGGTTCACCCATCGGGAACAACTCGGCGTACAAACGTTGTCATGTGCCATTTGCTAACCAGAGGCCACTTATTATAAACTAAGCGAACATTACGCAGTGCACAAACTGCCTTTGTGGGTTCAGGAAGAGCTTGATATTCCAACCTCAACTTGGGCGGTTCTATCGAAATTCCGTCAATTCAGAATAGTATTCAATATAACTAAAGATTAGTGCCATAAAGAGATAAGAGCGAACGCGGGAGCGGTGTCTCATTAAGTGAGCAATTTATTTTCGGAATCTCATGAGGATAGCTGTGGTATTCGGGAAAGATGACGTAACTTTATTAGCGTCTGGTTAGCATATCAAAACGTGTACTTGCCCAGCAGCATGGTAAATGTGCCTGACGGCTCATGTACACTTGAACCACCATAAACACAACTTTTCTTCTATCCGAACGAAACAACGGCTAAGTTAGGAAGTAGATCATAAGGTTGATGAAAATTCGAGGACTGCGCCCACCTGATGAGACCCAAGAAAGACGAAACCGGTCGTGGGCTGTCGAATAGTTTTCAGCGACCTTGTAAGTAGTTTCCTTTAAGTTAGGACACCTTTAAATGAATAGTTAAAGATGTGGTTAGAATTCAACACTCCTCAGTTCCCCTGTGGTGATTAAAAATTGTGAGTGAATGGAAAATAACTACGGAACCACAATCTAGGTAGAATTTACTCAGCACTTTATGTATCGCCTGTCCTAAATGATGCGAATTTTCTTCGTGATTCAGGGGAGACGTTAGTTAGACAAGTGGGTATTGGCGGTTGCGATATTAATTTGTTGCTAGTGCGACTGTTGTGCTTGGACGGTACTGAAAAACTAGAGTCCAACAGACGTAGATATCGATTGTGTGAATCACTAGTGTCGATATGCTTTGATGTGAGTACCGCGCAAAGGTCTAGAGTGACAAAGCCGTTTTCCAAGGTGGATCGAAGATCCGGTATACCCATGGGCGAAAAAAACGATCGGCGTACGTGAAACTGTTATGTGATTGTGCTCCACATCAACACCATATTTGAAGAGCCATTACGGTTGCCCGGAGGAGCTTACTTTACCAGGGAGTCATCAGTGTCACTGGTCCTAATGATTTTTACCATGGAGTTTAGATAGGAGACTAAGCAACGACCTGTGGGATAGTAATTGAGCCTAGACATACTATAAAGCCTTGAGTTAAAACATCGAGTGATTCACCAGACGGAGATTGAAACACTCATTGTGACCTCGAATTGTGAAGCAATACAAAATCTCGCTGTAAATACTTCCAGTAATAGCACCAGCAATGGCGATCGCTGTGCGGGCACAGAGATGTCCGCAGCAGTTCTGTACTTTGTGCCAAATCCAGTTATCAATAACTCGATATGCCAATGTACTTCCTACGGTAATTAACGACCAACATAAATAGTCACGTTAGACCACACTGCTGATCAGCGGCTCGTGGCCGAACGGCTAAAAGTTGTAACTACTAAGCGAAGATCCCTGGAGCTTCGTGAGATGCGCACGTAAGCAAATACATCGCATTACATAATTAAAGTTTGGTAAAGCGCAATTTTACCACTCCGATCATGTTATTTATCGCTTCATTACGAACAGAAAAGTTCTAACTGCTATTTATACGCAATGCTTTCATTGCACAGAAGGGATCTCAGAACAGAATATCCTGTAGAGATTTCGTCCTGTGAGTGAAGCCACTTTATGCTGAAAAACTGAGGAGCACTGTACAGGTAGGTATTTTATCCTTGGGAATCGTCAGCGGTGTGTGCTTCACAAGACTGGATTTCCGTGAGATGCGCACTGATGGCGATTCTCAATAAGGATGAAACAAGTGTACAATGCTTCTGGGCCTTTCAACATATACTGGTCTCCGTTACAGAACGAAATCCGCATTGACAATTGTTTTCGCACTCGACGCTACGACGAAATCATGAATCCACTTAGCGAAAAGAGAAGTGAATTGGGTACAACATACCAAAATTTTAGTTGGACCTGGAGGGTCTGCTGACTCCCCACTAGGGAACGAATAAGGCCAGTTGCAAAAGAACTTTGGTATTTAATGTGATCTCGAAAAATCTCACTCTAAGTTAGGGGACAGAAAAATAGGACGTGTAAGAAACGAAAGAACGAACAAACAAACAAACATGAAAAATGAACTAATGCTATGCTGGCATCCGATTAACGATCCGTGCAGCGCGGTACATCAGTAAATACCAGAGGAAGGTAAGAGTAACACCGACTGCCAGAGAATGTGTTCAGGACATCTGGAGGGCGGGATTTAACCGAATGCTACGAAGACAAGGCAGTGTGCGACCGCACAGATCACGGACAGATAAAACAAGCTGTACTGTGTTGTTCAGGCGTGTTTTACTCGTTCTTGCAACTGTTTGTAAACATTGTCGAAGATTTGATCGATTGTCCCGGATGCATCAATCTGTAAAATACCATAAAACTTAGGATTAAAGCAATCAGCGATTGTGGAATATTCGGCGCCGTATTTCTTTGCGCCTTACGTAACGAGGGTCGTTAGCAAAAGCTAAGAAATGCTACAAAAAGCTCTGAAATGTTTGAACAATAAACGATATCTACTTGTCTCCAACCACGATCCACATCCAAATGGCAAACCTACGGAGTTTCGATGTTAAGATGTTTACGTCTGAGTGGAAAGTCAAAAGATGCCCCTTAGCCCAAAATCGTCCACACTTGGTGCGAGAGCAAACGGGTTCCAAGGGAAAGTCGATTCAGAAACAAAACTTGGAAATTTCAAGCGATAATAATGGCTTTCGACTATTCACACATGCAAATAATGATGGATTTGAAACCATAGGATAAATCCCTCTTGAAAACTTGCCCCACGGCAAGTTCAGTGCATTAATCGAGTAGGTCTAGCCCTCGAATGAACTATAACAACTGTGTGTCGAAAGAGTTCTCGGCATTCCGTTCGGTTGAAAACACCTGATCATTTTGTCACCAGCTCGGTCATTAACATATCAATGAAATATGTTGGTTCATTTGAAAATGCTATGCCTAAAGACCGAAATACGGAGAGGGTTTGCAAGTGTTACCACACGGTTCATCACCGTTGTCACAAAGAAAAGTAAAGAACAGTGGTCAGGAAACGGTACCTTACTCACCCGGATTAATTTGTTCTGCTTCTCGTAATAGTCAATCACAGGCTTAGTACTGTCGTTGAAGGTCTTCAGGCGCTTAATGATTGTTTCTTCGTTGTCATCCACCCGACCACTGGTTTCGCCTCGTTTCTTCAACCTTTCAACCATAACTTGTTCACTCACGTCAAATGAGACGACACAAAGGCATGGACAGACCTTGGGGAGAGAGGAAGAGGAAGGAAAAGAAGACAGATAACACGCTCATACCAAGTACCACTGAATTCAGTGAAGCTGCTTACCAAAACGTTGATATTACTGCTAATGAACGAGTGGGCAAATTCAAGTTATGGGCCTACAGCTCGTTGAAGGTTGCCAGGTCTTTCGTATTACACAGATGTGGATTACAGAGGAAGCGGCTGGGTCAGAAACCTGTGTCTCGTTAGAAGTTCATTTTATCATGTAAAAATGGGTCTGAACAATATCCTGTACTGCCTTGAAAATGAGCCAGGTAGAATCGGTCTGGTTCACAAACTAGGTCTTAGATGGGTTGACGTGGAAGAGAAAGAGGACAAAGTGAGCCCGTATTCACATGCAAGAGGTCCCAAAACCCTGTACATGGGTCATTGACATATAGGTATTGTAAGTGGAATTTGCCGAAGATATGGTAATCGACTTCCATAAGAATATTTTAATGGCATACGATGAGGGGCAATAATTTTCCGTTTGCTGTCCCTTGAGTTTTCTTCAACCTCTTGGATAACCGAGTAGACCGAGAGTTTATCCGTTGGTGTACGAGGCCTGATATCACCATTCATCCCAGACACCCACTGAATACCAGGGTTCAATGTGCTGGATCGCAACACGGTAGCCTGCGTGTTGACACAGCAGAGCATAACAATAGTGAAGCGTTGATCAATGGCCCAGTAGCCTGATGGAGTGCCAATAGGTAAGGCCATCAGAACTACCTGCCCCTGTTCCACTACCATGAGAATGGACAAATCGCCACAATTTTCCTCCGCATGATGCACGGTGCTTCGAGATATTTGAAGTTTTATCCGCGCCCAGCTGCCCTGACATACCAAGTTTATTAACTTGTCAGTCTAAATGTGTAAGTTACATTCACGATCGGTGGATTCAGCCACGTCATTACATAAGCACATGGTGCGCTGGTATCCATTTTCGGATTTTGTTGGCACACCGAACTACGCGCCACTTGTGGCTGGCGCTGAACCACATGTGTGGCCAACTGAATCTCCCGTACCGGTGTAAAGCCGAGGGAATAGGACGGGAGAGGGGGCATTTATTAGGCCGCCAGCATGCCCAACTGGCAGTCCACAAGTGTCGGATCAGTTGGGGACAACTGACTAGTTGGGATATACAGTTCATGCCCATGCCACTCGTGAGACACCCGAGGCACAAATCGCCACACTCTGGGTCATCCATCCGCCGCTCATTCGCACACGTATTCATTAAACACAAATAAAGTGTAATAAAACAGAACCCATACAACATAGTGCATACAGGATAAACCTGAGATACCAATGGAAACAAATGAACATCCAGAGGCTCTCAACAGAGAACTAATTAAAAGTGTAGTTCGCCAGTTTCGTGCAACTTAGCTTCGAGTAGAGCATAAGGTTGACGGAAACTCGGGGAATGCGCCAACCTGATAAGTCCCAAGAAGGACGAAACCGGTCGTGGGCTGTCAGCAAACTTACGAGTAGTGCATTACGTTAAAAACACTAGGAATTCATCAATTAGTCAGCAATCGAAGTACACTACCTGGAGGTTGGTTAACGCTCATCGGGTGATCGAATGCTAACGGACAACTATCAAAACTTGGGCTGAGCGAGTCACATAATCATTTATCGGGAAACTCGATAGTTGATATCATCCACAACAGCTGCTTCGGACAACGACACTTGCAAACAATACTCACTTCTTTTTCAAATCGTATTCCCTGTTCCAATTCACGTGGATAACCGTCAATGAGGAAAAAACAATTCTTGTCTACATGCTTGAGCATAGCTTCTTTCAAGAGTGACAAAACGACATCCTGAAAGAGGAAAAAGGACAACTAGTTGGAACAGTTTGGCGGAAAGACAGCACAGTGATCGAATAACTGGGTTCCCAACTTTTTTTCGCACAATGCCCTACCCTGGATCGGTGTAATGGCAGCGGCGACAGCAAATATCAGGGTTGATCGTATCCAGTGGCAAAATTACTGCCATATTAAAAACGCAGTAAACGCACCAGCTATTGATCCCCGAATCATGCTGTTGCTTACATTACTCACGTCAAACTATAGCCTTAGTAACTGTGTCAACCTTCTAACTGACTTTATAATCCTACTGCCCAAGTAGGGACCGATACGATCGTCAGAACTGAATTTTTAGTTGGTTGGTTTGCCTGCCTCCACGCTGGGACAAACCGATAATAATTAGTTTCAGTAGTATAGTGGAGTGTGGAAACCTGGAAAATTGGAATGAGCTCCCGAAAGTTTGAAACTTGCAGGCCGTGGCTACATTCATCTCACTAGGAATATGGTTGCAAAAAACTGGACCGTCTAAAAACCTTGCATGACATGCGGTCCGGTGTTTACGGAATCCGACATCATAGAAAAGTATGATCATGAGAAGATGCAACATACCCAAAATGTTACTAGGACACAAGGTAAGGGACTAGCACGGACTACCCCATAGAATGTTGCGCCGTTACAGTATCCGCCCTAACACCGGCATTCATTGTCTAAGGTCTCCCGAAATCAACGCTCCAATTACGACCACGTGTATAGCCTTCCTACCGCTCTCTGGCATTCGTCACTCAAACCAACTTGCTCCATAGCTAACTGGAATTGATCTGTCGCAGAAACAGCTGTAGATGTTCAGTATCGGAAGGGAATCTTTTTTCTGAAGAATCCACTTCACGACCAGAGGCAGAAGTACACAAAGACGTTTCTCTGTCGAGCAGCGGGAACAACCATGTCCAAGAGCTAGAACGATAGTGTCTGATAAAGGCTCGTTTGCAGTTTACATTCTCCTATCAGTGACGAGTTCGCAAGAATGCTAACAACCTAATAACGCTGAACTGTAATTCAGTGCTGTCTAGAGCACATGGTTAAAACACATTTGCATAGAAACGATAAAAGCACGAAACCGAGGTGCATAATTAGCCTGATTTATTTTGCGGTATCCCCATAGTAACGTTTCATCCTGAAAATGAATGCAAAACAAAAAATGATGGCATACAAACATGAATCGTCTGAAATTAGTCCTACATACCAAGGGAACCAATTCTCCTCGTGCCATCATGGCTTTGAGCTCTTGACCACGAGGAGATCCAGATTCGCATTCAGCCCTCAAAAGATCACCACTGGACAAATGGTTGTATTTGCATTTCTCCACCAGTCGTTCGCACTGTGTTCCTTTGCCACTACCTGGCCCGCCTGCGAGGAATATCGAAAGACGTTGAGGTAATTCCTGACAATTAAGAGGTTCCAACGAGGCTTTCCTACCAAAACGACAATCCTGGGTGAGTCATACTTGTGATATGCACTTTGATAAGAGCTCGACCCTACACAGAGCAGCAGATCAGCTTCACAAAGGTATCCAGCCAGTGCAGACTCATTGTCGAATCCTCTACCCTATTGAGTGAACAAAGTTAAAAAAACAGTCGTCCGGACCTACGCACCAACGATGTACGAGTTTAAATTCATCATTCTAGCGGTCCTCTTATCCAATGGAGAGAAACTTACCCCATCCGAACACTTTCCATTCATCGATCCATTTAGCTACACTGCTTCAATCCCGTGAATTTGCTACACATACACGGCATTGACGAGCCCTACAAGTTTCGAAAAATAACTGATGGTACGGACTTTGCAGTCACATGTCAGATCAAAAGTTGCCTTAGCCTAAATTCCGATTCACTCGTGTAAATCAGTCAGCGGAGTTCATCAAAGAGTTTAAAGTCACAAAGTCGCATAGGTGGATAAATACGTGTGTTGTACAAATTTTGCACTAGCATCACAACCATGTTTTCATTCGATGGACCGAATTCTAATGCACAACTCTTCGACAAGTTAGACATTTTAATGAGAGCTTTTCCAACTGCTGGAAGTTAGTTAATTGGGGGTCACCACGCACAGAAGTGCAACACACGGATTCGCATCTAACTGTCGTGCTTCAGGGGTGACATCCCTTCGGTGCCTTAGCTGTCATGCCATCAAAAAGAGGGATTCGCATCTAACTGTCGTGCTTCAGGGGTGACATCCCTTTCGGTGCCTAGCTGTCATGCCATTCAAAAAGAGCGAGCACTGATCTACTGCCACATTATCTAACCCTATACAGCCGCAGTGGGGTTGTTAGGGTTGGGTTATAACCAAGGATCTTCAGGTCAGTTAGCCTGCGGCTTAACCGCGGAACTGCCTTGAGCTCCACTCTACCCCGGTTCATTGAATAATTTAGCATGAAGCGGATGTGGGTCGATCTAGGCATTATCAACAAGGTAGGAAAATCCCAACCAAAGTAAGATTGCTCCCATCCGTAGGGAGCGTTTCAGTTGTCTTGTCTACCTGGATAGCACCATCTCCCCCTGTAACCCTCTCTCCATCGTAAACACAGCCCAAAAAGCTGAAGAGCTTTCGGGCAGTGATGACCAAGATGACACACTTTGAAGTCAGAGTTAACCGTTACACACCAAAGTTTGCAGTCCGTACATCACATGAAAACATTACTTGTCAGGCATAGATTGACAAACAGTTGGACGGAGACAGCAGAAGCAAGACCGTGGATGGGAGAGATTGCTGGATAGGAAGATGACTGTATTCAGATGACGTTGACAACTAAAATGACTGCGGTTATCTAAGTAGTAATTTAATACAGTCCAATCAAGGGGTCGATCCACAGAAGTGGGTGTTATCCGCAAGATTTCAACTGAATTTGCTATTGCTCCCCACTCCCTCCTGGTCTTTAGGGTTTTGTTTGTACTCCAAGAAAGGTCGGGGCCTCAATGATCTATAGAAGACAGTATAAACATGTTTTTGATCGTCCAAGCATAGCGAATAAACGAACATGCCGATGGCCACTAAGATGACCAGAGCCTAATTCAACTAGATGGACAAATGCGAATTCAGAATCCTATCGTTACCAGTTGACAATTGTCAAAATAGCTATTGTATTCCAAAAAAACAGCAACTGGAACGTTATTTTCGTTACTCGATGGGAACATTCGCAATCGTAGTGCAGTTAGCTACGCCAGAATATTTATCCCTATCTACTGATGTTATTCAACGATAACTTGTACGTCAGTGGTGGCATGGTTCCGATCGACCGTAAAACACCGGTAGCAAAAGCTGGCGCTCACTAACATGAAACAATCAGGGGAATTGCCGCAGTAGAGTGGAAAGAGGGAGGACGGGGACTTACTGTAGATCAAAAAGGCATTTAAACAGCAACCAGACAACGGGTAGATATGAGCACCACAACAGGGCAAGATCCCTTCAACGGGCTTGCCCTAACATTCTGCGGACTTTGTTTAACAAAAGCCCAGGACAGACTTTAGCTATGCACTTCGGCTGGGAAGTGACAAAATGCTCGTCACTGGGATCATGAACGTGCCTATTCTCGTATGCTTTCCAACCAGGTGCAAGGAGAAACACACTGGTCTCAGTCCAGAAGGCTAGACGATCATAAGGACGGGAGGGAATGCGTAGAATATGACATCACACTCCTGAATTCAGCTGGTACATGCTGATCCGTGACCTTGACCACGAAGCGGACGAATGAGGTATGATTTGGGCTGCATTAGTGTGTGCATATTGGTTCTGTGGGTTTCGTGTGTTCTGCACCACGGCATGAATGATGCATGAATGATACACGTTCAAGTTCGAGTGAAAAACGGCAAGATGTGCAAAAGAACTGCTACAGTAACGTATGTTGATAATCAAACGATATTTTTGCGTGATGTGAAGAAACATTCACCCGCCCACCAGCCTAGAGCATGAGGTTACTCTGAAAATGCCAAACAATAAACCGTATTTCTGAAGCTGGCTGTGTCTCAGCAACCACAAACCTAACATCTTCGGTATCTCCATATTCTTGCCATTGCGTTATGCAACTGTTTGCTTTGACAAGCTCCCTTTCTGTACACTGAATAAAGCGACTGGAAAGCAAGAAACATGACTGCATATCACAGCACACTATACCATGTATTTGCCCGGCTCTAACGACAACCCATTGACTGTTCTGATTGCGCCCATCGAAGCACAGGCCAATCATAACTTCTCATTCTTCCAGCGCCACCGACGCTCCGAAATCTGCAGGAAAATTTCGACTAGTTGGCGCTTGGTTGGTGGAAACAGCGACACCCAGAATAGGAGGCAAAATCCAGCTGACCGCAAGAACCGGCTGAATAACAGATCGCTTCGCTTAAAACAAGGGTGTTGTACGTATACTGGCGAATTTACGCTACACCAGCTTATGCAGTTGAGAGAAACCTCATATTTGTACCACGACAACGACGAAATGCATGTACGATGTTACATACTGGTGGGTTATTGTAAATTCCCTTCGATTTCTGTCGCAACGTGGGACACCACTGTCACTATATCAAAGATCCGACATTTCTGCTCCCAAAATACTAATAACAATGCCATCAGAAACAAGCATGCACTGATTAGTTACTCCGGCTCTCAACTTTCATTTGCATTATCGATTCATTGTTTGTGGTTGCAGGATCCCAAGAATACGGGTTCAGATCACTCTTCTCTGAACAATAGTCCCCCTGTCCTGGCACAAATATTCTGGGGAGTCCACAAATCTTCACAAGAAGAAGAATGTTCAAACGAGAGTGATGTGGGCGTGAATTATTCGTTTACCACTCAGAAATCAATGTTACGTCTATCTGCTTATCGCCGGCCAACGACTTTTTACAAAAACGCAAGTGTATTGAAAACAGATCCAAACTTTAGTGAAATACGCTCATTTACATACCGACCCGGGTTTTAAGGGAGACTCACCTGAAACTCAATTAATTCTCCGTCTTATGATGTTTTTAAGGTCTAAACTTCCATCAATTCTTAAGATACTGCAGGATTAACGTTTAACTACCCCACGCGAATAGTTTGCTGGAAGGACTAATAATAGTAGGTTGGCTACATGATCAGCTGTCATATGGCCCCGAAAAAACTGCACGTCTGTTTTCATAAAGGAAACTACTCACAAGGTTGCTGAAAACTTTTCGACAGCCCATGACCGGTTTCGCCCTTCTTGGGGCTCATCAGGTAGGTGCAGTCTCCGAGTTTCCGTCAACCTTATGTTCTACTTACTTGAACCCAAACTGCACTGTTTTCGAGAAGTACACTCATTTGCAAATCAATTTGGTTTTCACGAGAGACTCAAATGAATCTATCGTTTATGATATTCTGCAACTGTAGAACAAAGTGTGACAATCTTCATTCCATGAAATCACTTCATTACTTCGGTGCGTTGCTAGGTGCATAGGAGTTCCGGACCGAACTTGGTTCATATTTTGTTGAAAAGTTCGAGCGCCATGTGACGGAACCCCACTGCCTCTGATTGAGATTTTGCAGCATGCGCGGCGATGGACGGGTGCTCCGCAATAAATTATCGCGATAATGCTAAGTTAAGTAGTGAGTTAAAAGCTTACATCGGTTACCATATTAACAGAGTGCTAGCACAACATACAGCTTCTGCTCATAATCAGAGACCGCAACATTATTGTCGACACTAATGCTTCACTGCCGCACAACCTTAAAGTTCATCGAATTATACTTAAAGCCCTAAAGTAAAAAGGAGAGAGAACAGTGGGCGAGGGGAGGACCTGGTGCCGGCCTGTCACAAGCATTCTAAGGTCTCTTATCTCCAAGCCCTGTCAGGCAACCTGGAAACTGACAGGACGAACGCCACTAAAATCAATCAGCCGTCGTCTCTTGCATTGTCTTCGGACAATGCACCAGAACGGAACTGTTAATTGCCAAAAAATTTCGTCTTAACTACGGACTGATCGATTCTGATCAATTCTCACATTTTGCTTATATTTGTCGTCATCACATGTTCAGCCACCAGATTGCATCGTGCTGAGCCCCTATTGATTTATCATCGTTCCACTCTCACATGTGACTCCATTGGTCGTTGCATT